TCCAGCTTTCTGAATACCAGCTTCTGGAAACCACAGGAAGCGAGAGTGCTCTTGTGGTCGAATCCTGCTTGCTTTCCCCCCTCAAGCAACTCTTCAGCCACTGCAAGAATAGGATGTTGGACTAGATGAGCCTTTGGCCTGATTCAGCAGAAGTTCCTTATGTTTTTATATCAAGCCAGCAATAGCCAATCATGGGGTCTGAAGAGAATTAGATTTCAGCATCAGGTTTGGGAAGGCTGATCAAGGATTTCTCAGATTAATCTAGTTAGTACAGAATGTGTAGTTTGTGTCAGTTCTAGGAAGAGCAGTGGCTCAGTGGTAGAGCATATTCCTTGCATTCATATTCCTGAAGGAGCATCTCCAACCCCATCGTTCAGCCCGGACACTGAGATCCAGCGCCGAGGGCCTTCTGGCGGTTCCCTCATTGCGAGAAGTGAGGTTACAGGGAAACAGGCAGAGGGTCTTCTCAGTAGTGGCGCCTGCCCTGTGGAATGCCCTCCCTTCAGATCTGAAGGAAATAAGCAGCTATCTTATCTTTAAAAGACATCTGAAGGCAGCCCTGTTTAGGGAAGTTTTTAATATTTAATGCTGTATTGTTTTTAACTCTTGATTGGGAGCCGCCCAGAGTGGCTGGGGAAACTCAGCTAGATGGGCGGGGTATAAATAATAATAATAATATATTATTATTATTATTATTATTATTATTATTATTATTATTATTAAGGCCCCAGGTCCAACCGCTAGCATATCAGGGTAGAGCTCAAAGAGACTCCTCTCTATCAACCTGGAGAGTCACCACCAGTCACTGTAGGCCGTGCTAGGATAAGTGGACCAGCAGTGTGACTCAGTATAAGGCAGCTTTCTATGTTCCTAAGTGCATAGAAGCCTATGACTCAGGTGAGTTGAAGGTAGAAACGTGTAGCTCAATGACAGAATATCTGATTTGCAAGCAAAAGGTCATAGTTTCGATCCACAGCATCTCCAGTTAAGTAGGGTTGCGGGGGAGAGGGGAGGGACAAAATCGTTGAGTTTTTCCCCCAGCTATTTTTTGGGGGAAATTTCGCCAGGACACCATTTTTTATGGGCAAATCCTAGCAATGTCCGCAAAATTCCATACATATGGCAGCCCTAAAGTTAGGCTCAGTAAACCCTGGAGAGCCACTTCCAGTAAGTGTAGGGTACTGAGCTAGGTAGACCAATGTTGTTACTCAGTATAAGACAGTTTTTTGTGCTCCTTTCAGTTCCTTTGGTTATTTTGTCTCTTTTTAAATCTCCATAGTCAGTCATGTCGTTTCACTTTTTGATCCAGGTATCAGCAATAAAAGAATGCAACACCAGTTTGGGATTTAAAATGGGAAATGACTTTGTTAATTATAATCCTAGAGGATCTGCAATACGTCAAAATGCTAGCTCCTAAAACCTCTTCCCACCAGTGCAGTGCAAGTTCCTACTAATATGAAGCGTTAGGGCATTTCCTTACATCTCAAATCTTTCAGGCCAATTTCCTTGGCTCAGGCCTAGGGCTCAACAAAAACTACAAAGAAAAGAATATTTTTTATTGATTTTTTATTCTTGGTTACAGTCCTTCTGCAAGGTTGGAGAATTTCAATTCTCATCAAGGAACATTCAGCAAGTTGGCCTCCTGGTTTTTGCCATGTGAATGTTTGGATGCAACTGTATATCCTATTTTAATGCTGTTTAATAATGGTAATATTGTTGGAGGAAGAAAAGTAATAGCCCTTAGTCCAGTTCTCCTCCCTTATATCATGTTCTGCTGGGACTTGAGGTTCACAGTGAGTGCAAGCAGTCTGAGTTTCTTCCAAGCAGGTCAAGTCTAAGGAGAAATGGGTACATTGGGCAGCTCCCAGTGAGTCCTGCTGGCTGAACTCTGTAAAGATGCGGTTGCAAAGGGTGAGTTGAGGACTAAAATCCTTTGAGGCTGTTCCTTAAACAGCCCTTGTCTCATTATGGACCATTCAGCTTCTGCAAGTTGTTGGCAAAGTGGCAAGTACCTAATACTCATCCAAATCTTCACCAGAGCTCTGTGGCACCCTAAGAGCAGGGGCCATTACTGCTTAGCCCATTGCCTTCATTCACCAATATGAATTAAGAAGAACTTTTCATTCAACAGTAAGTGAGCTGATATTTCATACCCTTCAACATTTCTCTGATGAAAAGACGGATGTCCCCAGGGGTGTAGGAACTGGGGTGCAGTCCGAACCAGGTGTCATCCCTGAGGGGGTGACAAAATGACACACTGCAGGGGGTGGTCCTTACCGCAGGGCCTGGCCTGCAGAGCACCTTAGCCACGTGTCTCTCCCGGGAGTGACACGGTGGCTTGGGGCCCCACACTGCCCAAAATGGCAGTATGGAGCTTGAGTCTGCCAGGCGGACTCTGTGGGCAGCTTGCCATGCTGCCCCCCCCCCCCCCGCACAGCTGCCCTGCCCCTGCAGCTCTGGGTGCTGGAGCAGCTAGCTACACCCATGGATGTCCCATTCAATAATAATAATAATAATAATAATAATAATAATAATACCCAGTCCATCTGACTGGGTTGCCCCAGCCACTCTGGGCAGCTTCCAACATATATAAAAACATAATAAAACATTAAACATTTTTTAAAAAACCCTCCCTATACAGTGGTACCTCGGGTTAAGAACTTAATTTGTTCCGGAGGTCCGTTCCGAACCTGAAACTGTTCTTAACCTGAGGCACCACTTTAGCTAATGGGGCCTCCCGCTGCCGCCGCACGATTTCTGTTCTCATCCTGAAGCAAAGTTCTTAACCCGAGGTACTATTTCTGGGTCAGTGGAGTCTGTAACCTGAAGCGTCTGTAACCTGAAGCGTCTGTAACCCAAGGTACCACTGTACAGGGCTGCCTTCAGATGTATTCTAAATGTTGTATAGTTAATTATCTCCTTGGCTCAGGCGTTGCATAACTCCATACCCTCCAACATCTCTCCAATGAAAATAGAGACATCCTAAGGAAAAGTGGGACATTTTGGGATCAAATCAGAAACCTCGACAGCTTCTGTAAATATGGGACTGTCCTTGGAAAACAGGGACAGTTGGAGGGCCAATGGTCAGAGATGACAGGAATTGTAACTCAGTGGAGGGCACCACTTTTGCTCTGACCACTCCACCATACTGGCTTTCACCAATGTCATTAGTAACGGGTAATGCATCATGATAGCACAGGCAGATAGACTCTTTTGTGTGTAAATGGATAATCATTTTTAAAAGATAAAATTAAAGTTAAGTGCTGTCTAACCTTAATCTGACTGGGGGAGAATATAAGTGGCAAAGGCTTCTAACTGAGTGACTGTGTCAGTGTATAATAGAGTGAATGATGTAACAGTAAGAAAGTTAAGAGATTCCTGTTGCCATGTGATTTACTGTGTTCAAATGGCTTCTCCTGATCTGAAATGCTCTTAATTTAATAGACAAACATCCCAGGATGAAGGTTGGCTTGAGACTCAGCTGATGGGATAAACATCAAGAGATTGAAGACCTGCTGGGGGAGTCTATAATTCCCTTATTCAAATTCCAAAGTGCTTCCTTAAAATGAAATGTTGCTAAGGGAAGTGGTACCATCAGGCTATGTTTAAAAAGCAGAAGTGTGTGATTTGGGGTGCAATGCTTCAGCATCAGGGCACCATTATCTAGAGCAATGCGGAAGGGCTGAAAAGCAACCACACTCTTTCTCCTTTTGATTGCTAAAGAGAGTGCTCATGAAACACACACACTAAGTGAGGCTTTACAACCATTTCTAAAGGCAGCTTAGAAAGACTTCAGGGGATTCAGCAAAGTGTTTGCACCTTCAAGCAATGAGTTGACATCATAGGTCAGCAGATGGGAGAGAGAATAAAAATGGGAGCAAGGGCTAAGTGCACAAGTGTACTATATAGCGGGGGGTTGTCAGCCTGGGGGCTGCATTCCCTTTCGGGAAATCTTCCAAGGGCCATGTTCCAAAGGTGGGTGGAGGCAGAAGCAAAAGTGGGTGGAGTAAGGAGTGTCAATCTTATATTTGTGCAGTAGGCTAGTCTGTAGACACACACACACACACACACACACACACACACACATGCCCCTGTATCCTCCATCACAAGTGAGAGGCATTGTCAGAGTTCAAGGACACATTCCAGCTAGCAGGGGCATCTTACCCATAGAGGCTAGTGGCGCAGGGCGCCAGGGTGCCAAGTTCTGGAGGGCGCCAGGGAAGAGGAGGAGGCTGGACGTGGTGTCTCCCAGCATCAGCTCGCCGCCCTCTCCTGCCTCCGCCATGCTGCACCGAAGGAGTGCCATGCCTGGAGCCTCTGTCTGCCGTGGCCACTGTGGCACGAAGTGGCCAGCTGAGCCGGGAGGTGCCACGTCCAGCCTCTGCCTCTTCCCCACCAAAGGAGCCACCCTCCAGCCTCTGCCCGCCTCCTCCAGCCGTGCCGGCAGCGCTGCCCTCCCTAAAAAAAGGTGGACAACTCTGGGAAATGGGGGGGGGGCATGCCAGAGGGAGCTTTGCACCATGGCGCCAGATATGCTTAAGACGGTCCTGCCAGCTAGGCAAAAACATCCAAGGCCTGTGAGCATGGGAAGAACTCCAAGGGCTAGATGGAGAGGCTTGATGGACCTCATTTTGCCTGCAGGTCCTGACCCCGGCAGGTTGTCATGGCAACACTTGCCTGCATCTCACTCCTCTTTTGGGAAAAGCAATATCAGCACACACACACACGCACACACACAAACCCCAACCAGCTGCTTGTTTGCATGTTCTTGTTTGCATGTTCAGAGAGCAAAGCTGGGAAAGCAGGGGCAGCAAGAATTGTTGGAAAGGCTCTAGCTCGGTGGTAGAGTATCTGCTTTGCATGCAAAAGATCTCATACTCAAGCCCAGGCTGAAACACTGGAAGCCTTCTGATAGCTAATGCTGAGCTAGTTGGTCTGGCTCAGTAGATGGCAGCTTTCTATGTTCTTATTTAAATCAGCACTTTCTTCTTAGCGGAAGGGCTGTAGTTCAGTAGGTAGAGCATATACCTTGGATGCTGAAGGTCCCTGGTTCAATCCCTGGCATCTCCAGGTTGGACTTGGATTGACTCCTATCTGAAAACTTGGAGAGCTGTTGCCAGTCACTGTGGACCTTAATTAGCTTGATGGACCAATGGAGCAACTCAGCATAAGGCAAAATGCTTATATTATATTTCTATGACAATTCCCAGCAGCACCAGCAGGCATCATGACCATAGGTTAGGACTGATGGGGATCCAGCAGTATCTGGAAAGACACAAATTTGCCACTCCTGGAGTAGACAGTGCTAGGCTAGATGGGAAATGTTATGGGGTTTGGGGTGCCAGAGTTTGGGGTTGCCTGGATTTAGTAAATGCTAGAGTTTAATAAATGCTTGGAGAGTTAAAGTGGAAGCCAGACCTTAATAGCTGGGCTCAGTTTCCCTGGTCCAGGCTAACCTGATAATGGCTGAGTCATTAAGCAAACAAAGGGGGCAGGGAGATGAGTGATTAACAAAGCAGAGCTTCTGTGCCAGTCAGAAAATGTGTGAAGCCCCTAGGCCAGGAGTAGAGTTTCAGGCTTGCAGTTTGCTCTCCTGTGCTCTAGGGGGAAAGGTTTGCGTGGCGAGTTCCCGCCCCCCACCAGGATAAATAAAGACACCAGACACCATAATTAAGGTTAATTGGGCGAATTAGGCCACAACTTTATTGAGTTCAGGAATGAGAGGCATTGGCTTAGGCATTGGTCCTATCGACTATCCGGCTCCAGCCCAATTGCTGGAGACACGGGGAAGGGTTAACACTATATCGGGGAGTCTCCTGCCGAGGCACGTCGACTAGGAGCTCCCCGGGTCACCGCTCTGGGGCGTGCCTTTGGCCCTCACCTCCATAGGCTTCGGACAGGGCCACGCCCCGGAGTCCTTTAACGGACCACCCTTCGTTCACTGGGGGAGGTGATGGCGCTCCTCCCCACACATCCTCTTAACCCCTTCTTACCAATGCCTACCGCCAATGCCGAAGAGTTGTGACGAGTTGCTACGAGGTAGGCGAAAAACCAAAAGGCTGTAAATTGCCAATTGGGAAAAATTCCTACCATGCCCCTTGCGGCGACAGACCGAAGTCCATAGCAAAGTCAGAAACCTGCCTAAAAACCTACCTAGAGGGAGGGAGGGTGGGAAAAACGTGAGGGCTAGCCGGCAAAGAGAGGGCGAGCCCCCTCCGTGCCGGCCCTAAATAGCCCAGGCCACGCCCCCCCAGCCAGCCGATTGGCTGGCTGGGGGGGCACACCCGGCCGGGATTCCCCTGTTCTCGCGGGGGCTGAAACCAGCCCCCGCTCACGTGGGGTGGGCGTGAAGCCCGCAACCCCACCTCCTGGGCAAGCCGGAAGTGGCTTTCTCAGTCGGTAAGCAGCAATGCAACAGATAAGCAATGTAGGCAGCTGCCTAGTTCAATGTTAGGAGTTATGTGCATGGGAGAGCAAGACAAGCTGCAGGGCAACACACAAGATGTCTGATGTCTGCTTGAACCCAGGACTGTGCCTATGTAAGAAGCAATACTCTAGGAGTAAAACGCTGGCAACCCCTCCATCACAGCCTAAGATGGTGTAAGGCAGTTTCCTCTGAACCTAGACTCCAGGACAGTAGCATGACGGTAGAGCACCTGCTCTGCATGCAAAAGTTCAGTCCCCAGAATCTCCAGTTTGGTCTGGGATATACCCTTCTCACACCAGTCCCTGTCCAACTAACATGTATTGCAGATTCAATTTGATTATTTAATTTCTATACCTTTTAATATATTTATATATATATCTAAGTGGTGTATGGAAAACTGAGGCAACAACACACAACTTAAACAACATATTACAAAAACACAAAGTTGCATATAGAAATGACACATTAATACAAAGATAAAAGGCAAAGGTACCCCTGACTGCTAGGTCCAGTCGCAGACGACTCTGGGGTTGCGCACTCATCTCGCTCTATAGGCTGAGGGAGCCGGCATTTGTCCGCAGACAGCTTCTGGGTCATGTGGCCAGCATGACTAAGCCGCTTCTGGTGAACCAGGGCAACACAGGGAAATGCCGTTTACCTTCCTGCCACAGCAGTACCTACTTATCTACTTGCACTTTGATGTGCTTTTGACCTGCTAGGTGGGCAGGAGCTGGGACCCAACAATGGGAGCTCACCCCATCACAGGGATTAGAATCGCCAAGCCCTAGGCTCTGTGGTTTAGACCACAGCGCCACCCGCATCCCTTAATACAAAGATACTAATATATGAAAATCTATATCAATTCATTTTCCTTCTGACAGACCCTCCCTCTCAGCCTCTGGTTTCTCATCCAGGGTCCAAACAAACTCTCAGTTCACCCAAAATTGTCTCACAACAAGAGAAGATCCTGGAAACAGTGGACTTCACTCTAGACTCACACTCTAGACTTGCTTTTTATGGGCAGGTCCAAGGCGGGTGATACTTCTCCAGGCTGCTCACAGCTGTGTCCCATTCAGCTACATTCAGTGTCCCCACTCCTCCACATGCAGCTGCTGGGTGACCTTGGGCTAGTCACACTTCTCTGAAGTCTCTCAGCCCCACTCACCTCACAGAGTGCTTGTTGTGGGGGAGGAAGGGAAAGGAGATTTTTAGCCCCTTTGAGACTCCTTCAGGTAGTGATAAAGCGGGATATCAAATCCAAATTCTTCTTCTCTTCTACATTCTCCACACCCAGGGCAGCAGCAGGTCTCTTGGTGTAAATTCAAATTTCCTTCTGTATGTGTGAATAACCATTTATTGTTCATGTGTTGTTATGTAAAACAACTAAAATATGCTTTAAAGGGTATTAAGAACATGCAAGCAGGGAGTTCAAGCGGTGAAGAGAGCCTTCCAGCTCTAAGAGAGAAAGAGAGAACAACATTATTTCATTTTAACAAACATCAGAATCAAATTAACCAACAACCAAATGCTGATTATTATTTCCAATTTGTTTGCTGAGATTTAATGACCATTGATGGGTTATGTATCACTGACAGAGACACTGAAAAGTCCTACAAATACGTTTTTAATGATCAAATCCCATTTAATGTACACTGCTCAATCTCACATTAAGGAGAAATTACATACGTGGCTTAGTGTATCATTGCAAGGCACAAGCTCTAAAAAGAATTTGTTGTCTCTTTATAATGGGACTCTTGACAATGCAGCTATTCTTCAGAAGAAGTTGTTGGAGGCCTGGCTGACCTACAGTTCCATTAGATCAGGGATGGGCAACGGGATTCTCCAGAAGATGCTGAACATTGGCTCACATAATTCTTGGCCATTAACTATGTCACCTGGGGCTGATGGAAACTGAACTACAACTGGGGCTCCATAGCTTCCCCATCCTTACACTGGATAATTGTACTGGGAAATTCCTCTTTTGGGGCCTAATGAGCAACCATGTGCCCTTTCTTTATCCTGTTTAAGAAAGGGATCCACCTGGGAAATGAAAAAGCTCAGAAAGAGGCCATGCTTTGCATATAGACAGTCCCAAGTTTCACATGTAAAATTTCGTGCATTTTTGCCATAATATGTATATTTTTGATGTATGGAAAAATATGATGTATGGAAGTGAGAGCTGGACCATAAAGAAGGCTGATCGCCAAAGATTTTATGCTTTTGAATTATGGTGTTGGAGGAGACTCTTGAGAGTCCCATGGACTGCAAGAAGATCAAACCTATCCATTCTGAAGGAAATCAGCCATGAGCACTCACTGGAAGGACAGATCCTGAAGCTGAGGCTCCAATATCCTGGCCACCTCATGAGAAGAGAAGACTCCCTGGAAAAGACCCTGATGTTGGGAAAGAGTGAGGGCACAAGGAGAAGGGGACGACAGAGGACGAGATGGCTGGACAGTGTTCTCGAAGCTACCAGCATGAGTTTGACCAAACTGCGGGAGGCAGTGGAAGACAGGAGTGCCTGGCATGCTCTGGTCCATGGGGTCACGAAGAGGCGGACACGACTAAACGACTAAACAACAACAACATGTATATTTTTGGAAGTATTTCCAATAATAATAATAATAATAATAATAATAATAATAATACTTTTAGTTGCTTTTTTTCACACAGTGACCCAAGCAACCTTAAAACCAATTAAGAACATTCAATAGCAATCTAAAAACACAGCTGTACAGATAAAATGGAGGACTTGCAGATCTCACCCCACTAATAGAGGCCAAAATTAAGGCCCAAAATCCTGGATAAAGAGAAAAGCTTTTGCCTGGAGCCTAAAAATGAATATAGGTGGTTCCAGGCATGCTTCCATGGAGACAGCATTCCACAAGTGAGGGGCCACCACGGAAAAGGCCCGATCCAGTATTGTTGCACTTTGAACCTCCGGTGGAGAGGGTACATGAATAAGGGCTTCAGATGATGATCACGGGGTCTGGGTTGGTTCATGTGGGAAAGTTTGTGCACACTTTCCCTCTATAAGCACTTTTTTGATTGGAGGACAGCTCTGCAAAATTCAGAGAACATTTCAAAGGATGGCTTCATGTTAGTTCACATATATTATGAATCTTAGGTTTCTTCCCATTATAGCTCCATACTTCCTCACTGATTCCTTCACACTGACTCTGCATTCAGTCACTGAAGACCATAAATACATCTTGTCATTTTTTTTAATGATTATTGTTGGTTTGGATTTTATGAATATTGATACAAAGCAACTGTGGGGATGATATTAAATACATTAGACAATTTTAAATCCACCCCTTTCCCTCATCCCTCTTTAGAGCTTCATCCAATATGAATCAATATTGGCTTAATAATTAACACGTTTAAACATTTTTTATGTCTATTACATGGGTGGAAGCTCTATGTTTATTTTATGAAGATGAAATATTTAGTTTCAAGGGAATTTGAGTTTGCTGTCATCCCAGCTTCAGATCAGTCCTTTCAACGGTGCCTAAGGGGGAATCTCTGTCTTCCAGACATAACAGACGCTTTTTGGATTCCCCATTGCCCTCACCAAAGGCCCTTCAATACAGGCTTAAAATGCTCAGAGTTAGAACAGATAATTACAAGATTTTACTCCCTG